AAGGGGACCATACTTGGGAATTACGACGATGTGTTCTGTGTCATCACTAATTTACGTTTCGTTTAAGGCACCACGTGTGTTCAGAGTTTCAAGTATGGATCGAGGAGAGCATGTTATGGCCATGGAAATCGCCTTGTTTATCTGCTCTCTGCTTTTAGCGATCGGTCATATTGCTGTGGCGTATAGAACAAGTTGCAGAGAAAGAAGAAAGCTTTTGGTGTACAAAATTGACATTGAAGCTGTAAGTCTTCACCTCCCTTCTTTGTCTCTCTCACTGGATCATGACGATATTGATGATGCTCATATTGCAAAATTATAAATTTAATCGTAATAGCCAGGCTGCTCCAGCTGTTCATTAAATGGAAGTGTTAACAGATTACAAAAACGAATTATGCTTACAAATGTACATACCATAGGACGATCAGAGTCGTGGGTTGTCGCATCGCACTTTCTCTGTGATTTAATAAACTTGGTCAATTTGCCAGCACCTAATTCAACTGTAGAAGGGTCGAGTATTTCATCTTCTGAAAGGTCAAAAAAATTCCTTGAATCGGTCCTTACCGGTGCAGGGGAGGGAAAGGTCATGGGCTAAATTTCGACAAAAACAGAGGAGAAATAACATGCTTAACTATTAAGGTTATTATCGATATGGAAAGGAAATTTTTTTGTTCATTCTGAGAAAATCACCTGACCCGGCAGCTGGTAGAGATATAAATCTGTTTAAAAGTGTAGTTGTGGATATTTTTAAAATATTTTTTAAAATAATATTTTTTTATTTTAAAAAAAATATTTTAAACATTAATATATCAAAAAAAATTAAAATATTATATATATTAATTTAAAATAAAAAATAAAATAATTTTTTAAAAATATTTTAAAAATTCATTACCAAGTAGTCGTTAATTTGAAAAGCTTTATAGCATAACGTCTCATCGTTGACTAATTCCAGCAGCTGGTAGAGATATAAATATGTTTAAAAGTGTAGTTGTTGATATTTTTTAAATATTTTTTTAAATAATATTTTTTTATTTTTAAAAATTATTTTTAACATTAATATATCAAAATAATTAAAATATATTAATTTAAAATAAAAAAACAGTTTTTTAAAATATTTTAAAAATTCAGTACCAAATAGTCTTTAATTTGAAAAGCTCTATAGCATAACGTCTAATCGTTGACTAATTCTGCCATGCTTTGGTCAATAGATTCATCGGATCCCTCTCGAAAACCCTCTCCCGAGGCCACCATGTGCATTAGAGCCGACTAGGGTAAGAGAATTAAAAATGACATGGGGAAAAGCACGAGCAAATCTAAATGAATTTTCAGGCAGCATGTGATCATAATGTTGATATCTTTTTTATATGTTTTAATGTGTTCTCGAGCCATGTTCTTCACTTGGATGTTGGATCCACCCTCCATATTCCTGGTCAAAAAACAAACACTGCACCTCGTGTCAAGAGAAACTGGTCATGCAGCCGTCCTTGGAGATGGAGAATTTTTTTTTTGACTACATATGATTTTTTTTCTCGAATCTACAATGGCGCCCTCATTTCTTGAATCAGGATATGAAACCACCTTTACTCCATTGATAAGTGTTCGTTCCTTCTCTCTTCAGAAATTTTATTCATCACCGAAATTCACCCCCTCATACGAATCTTATTATCTCATACGAATTATCAATTTCCGATTCAGTACGAATCTTATTAGCTCACACAAATTCATCCGTTTATATTCAGTCTAATCTTTCAAAAATAAAAATGTGGCAAGTTCTGTTCCTTCATAGGCTGCTTCTCGGCAGGTCATTTTTTTCCCTAGTATAGAAAATAAAGATCCAAGGCCCCGTTTTTTATTACTTTTGAGTTTCAAACCATACCAAGTTATTGTAATTCCAGTCCCTTGAACTGTAAGGCTTGACAATAATGATAAGAACACAGCTTAGCCGAATAAAAGCCAGCAGCATCTGAGAGATGGTTTAACTAGTTATATTTTAGGTTTTTTTAATGATTATGAGTTTGAATTCTCTTAAAATTATTAGCCCCCTCATACGAATCTTATTATCTCATACGAATTATCAATTTCCGATTCAGTACGAATCTTATTAGCTCACACAAATTCATCGGTTTATATTCAGTCTAATCTTTCAAAAATAAAAATGTGGCAAGTTCTGTTCCTTCATAGGCTGCTTCTCGGCAGGTCATTTTTTTCCCTAGTATAGAAAATAAAGATCCAAGGCCCCGTTTTTTATTACTTGAGTCTCAAACTATACCAAGTTATTGTAATTTCAGTCCTTTGAACTGTAAGGCTTGACGATATTGATAAGAACACAGTTTAGCCGAATAAAAGCCAGCAGCATCTGAGAGGTGGTTTAGCTAGTTATATTCTAGGTTTATCTTTCAGTAATTACAAGTTTGAGTTCTTTTAAGATTATTAAAAATTTACATAATTATTAATTTTAAAATTTATATAATTAATTAACACATATATGTTGATCTGAACATCATATTAATAATAATAAAAAAAAACACAGCAGCATCCAATATTTGGCATCAAGCACGCGCCCAAGCCACACACACTAATCCAAGTTCCCTGCGTAGATAAGCAGCCAAAGACCGCAAAAACTGGCACAATTTTTTCTATGTTGAATAAATAAAAATGTTTGACAAAAAGTAGTAGCTGGTGCTGGATTAAAATGGTTCTAAATGTGGTTGTGCCATGTGCTGCAGGTCTCAGCTTGCAAGAACGTGGTGTTTCCTAGGTATCATAATATCTTGCTGGAAGAAAGAGTGAAATGATGAACACTAACATTTGAAAGCAAGAGACTTTAGTTCTCTTTTGCTAACCAAACTAGTCTTCAGCGTCAGGTTGCAGGTAATATTTAAATTCTCCTTTTGTCTGCTTTTTAATTGATTTCCATCATCACCAATAGCACCAGACTTTTGCAGTTCCTTGATCAATTCGTTGAACTCGAGCAACTAACTCATTCTCTGGCTTTTGTGGACAGGTTTAATCGAGAAAACCTGCAACTTGGAGATCATTGAAGAAACAAAACTAACACGGCGGCGCCTAGCTAGGATTAGTAAACAACCATTTAGATATGCCATAGGTCACTGTATTTGTCATGGGTTCAACAGATACACGTACTCCTGGTTTTGAATCGCCATAGAGCTGGTTACGTGACCAGAGAATAGACGTACCACGTCTTATTATTTTCATGCAGCAATGTACAGATTTTGGTATAACAAGGAAAGTTGAGGGATTTACAGTGTTGTCTTATTTTTATTGTTTTTTAAAGTTTTTTTATATTAAAATATATTAAAATATTTTTTTTAAAATTAATATATTAAAATAATAAAAAATATTAAAAAATTAATTTTAAACAAATAATTTTTAAAATTTTTAAAAATATAAGTTGCTCGTGTTTTCAAACACTTTTTTAAATAAAAGAGTTTTTGAAAATGGGATTGTGGTTTTTTTTATTATAAAAAATATTAATTTAAAAATATATATATATATATATATAAATTTAAATATTTTTAAAATATAAAAACAAACAATATTTACCTAACCAAGACACTTGTTGTGCAACGAGTGAGGTCTTTCTAGCTTACATCACTTCGTGGTAATAAACTACTCAATCATCACAAAAACACCCGCCAAGGCTCTCATTGTTTGATCAAATCACATGGAAACATAAAAAACAATCTGCTACAAATCATCATGCAAAGGAGATACCTCACTCTGGAGATCCATTTTTTATTTATTTATCTGAGATGAGCTATCATTTGGAAATACAAATGATGTATATGATGGATCGTATTTCAGTTAACACTTGAATGAACAACACAATTAATTTTGATTTTCTGGTTAAAGCTGCCACATAAAAAACTAATTTCGGTTGAGTTTTTATTGGTTATTTTAAAGGGTGGTACTAGTTGTTTTTAAAGTATTTTTTATATAGAAATATATTAAAATAATATTTTTTTTATTTTTTAAAATTTATTTTTCACACAAGATACCATATTAAGATAATTTTAAAATATAAAAAATAATTTTAAATAAAGAAATTGATTTTTTCAAAAACTTGAAATGTAAAAACAATAGGCTCTTTCCTACTACATGTACCGGACCACATTTCTGAGCTAGGCCCATCTCCTATGTTTTGAATGCTACAGAATCCGACTCTTCGCCGGGGAAATTTAAACTAAACTTAAAAAAAATAAAAAATAAAAGTCTCCGCCTGCATGAAGCGGCATCGTTTGACGTTTTATCTTTAAAATAAAAAATAAAAAAAATTAAATATTTATAAAATATAAAAACAAACAATATTTACCTAGCCAAGACACTTGTTATGCTATGCAGGGAGTGAGGTACTTTTGGCTTACATTACTTCGTGGTAATAAACTAATCAACCATCACCAAAACACCCGCCAAGGCTCTCATTGTTTGATCAAATCACATGGAAACATAAAAAACAATCTGCTACAAATCATCATGCGAAGGAGATACCTCATTCTGAAGATCCATTTTTTATTTATTTATTTATCTGAGATGAGCTATCATTTGGAAATACAAATAATGTATATGATGTATCGTATTTCAGTTAACACTTGAATGAACAACACAACTAATTTTGATTTTCCGGTTAAAGCTGCCACATAAAGAACTAATTTCAGCTGAGTTTTTATTGGTTATTTTAAAGGGTGGTACTAGTTGTTTTTAAAGTATTTTTTATATAGAAATATATTAAAATAATATATTTTTTTATTTTTTAAAATTTATTTTTCACACCAACATATTAAGATAATTTTAAAATATAAAAAATAATTTTAAATAAAGAAATTGATTTTTTCAAAAACTTGAAATGTAAAAACAATAGGCTCTTTCCTACTACATGTACCGGACCACATTTCTGAGCTAGGCCCATCTCCTATGTTTTGAATGCTACAGTATCCGACTCTTCGCCGGGGAAATTTAAACTAAACTTAAAATAAAAATAAAAAAATAACAGTCTCTGCCTGCATGAAGCGGTATCGTTTGACGTTTTATGTTCCCAAACTTGATAGAGACAGGGTTGATTCCTCCCGCTCCGAATCTCATCCTCCTCAGTCGTCACCAGCAAAGCAAGGAGACGTGAAAACAAGCAAACCAAAATGAGATTCAACTTCGACTTAACAGAATCAAACCCAAACTCTTCTTCTCGAAACTCCCTAACTCCCAAAGAAGATATCCAATGGGTCCCACTCCAAAACCACCCGCTCTTCGCTTCCTCCGACGAAGACACCGTGCCTCGATCACCATCTAATCTACTGGCTTGGGACGGCGCTTCTAGATTTTACTATTGGGATTCAAACCTCCGTTGCCTCCATCGAATTTCAATTCGGCTCGGCGATCCCGAACCTTCCTCTGTCCTTGCTGCCTCTCTTTCTAAGGTAATAACACTTCAATAGCTAGCTTAATTTTAACTGCGATAGCTTATCAAATCTCAAAAGTCCCTGATTACTTTTTTCTTGCACAATTAGGTACTGCAAACTGATGCGGAGATTAATTTTGAGGTTAATAAAATTTCTATAAATAGAAATGGCTCTGCGATGGTTCTCTCCGGCACCAATGGTTTATGTGTTATGTATCTCTATGGACGCTCTTTTGGTAAAGATAACGCCATTGTTTGCAGGTAGATTTTCTGATTTATTTATTTTTAATTAGATTAATTTCAGGTTGTTTTGTTAATGACTACAATTTTGTTGCTGCGCAGGACCGTGTCCATTGGCTCACAAATTTTTTTTAATGAGAGCAATGTGATACAGACACGAAGAGTTTCGTGGCATCCTTACAGTGATACGCATTTAGGAATTCTTTCTTCTGATTCAGTTTTCCGGTACACGAATTTCTGTTTGGAATTGTATAACGTTGATTGTTTCATTCTAGGATTAAAGCATGATTTGTGAAAGTGTAAACACGTGCTGAATTTCATGGTTAGGTTAAACTATTTTCGATTGATGTAGAAGTGTGGAAATTATTGTCAATCATGCCTGCTGTTATGTTTGACTAGAATTTTGTTGTGTCGTTTTGAACTTCTTTCATTTTTTTGGCCAGATTGTTTGACTTGTCTTCAGATTTCCTGAAGCCAGAGCAGGAATATTATCTACAGCCTGTTGAACCAGGTAGATCCAGGAATGCTGCATCAATCTGTCCTGTTGATTTTTCTTTTGGGGGCGATCACATGTGGGACAGATTTAGTGTAAGTTCAGTTTCGGGTTTGGTGTTTAATGCATGTGCCTAATTATAGTATTGGCTGCAGTCTTAATGCTTGTCTATGATGCTTTCAACTTGATATGTTTTGATTGCCCTAGTAAATAGCAACTTTTGTGTGGTATCGTCATCTTTCACGGTGCTGCATGTTTTTCATGTCTAGGTTTGAAGACTGGTATTTTATGCCATGTAGTAGTTTCATCTTTTGTTCATTCCTCCTTTTTTCCCCCCATCCTGCAGGTTTTCCTATTATTTAGTGATGGCTCAGTTTACATTCTTTGCCCAATCGTTCCATTTGGAAGGTATATTTTGTCTGATATCTTATAATTAGCTTGTAGCTTTCTTTGGATTTCATGATAGATGGGCACTGTATTCTCAACATTTTACAAAATCATTATACTCAAAAAGTTGGATCATAAAGATCTACAAGTATTTATGTTACCATCTTGATGCTTTCTTATGCTTGCATTGCTTGATCAATGGTTTTGAATTTTTTTTCTTTCTACTCTTATTTGTACTTCTGCTATTGTATGGACATCGCATCTATAAATTGTCTATTATACATCAAAGTGCATATATCAAACTTCTCCCTTATGTCCTAGATGATTTTAGAATTTGATATTTGCTAAAATTAAGTGCTTTATTTTGGAGCAGTGTCCACAAATGGGAATATGTGTTGGAGATATATAGTGATGCTGAAACATTTGGACTGAAATCAGCAAATCCAGTTGCTGTAAATAACTCAAATCGGGCAATCTCTTGGTTGGAAGCAACATTTCCCGTGTTAGCCCATGAATCAAAGGAGGGGGGGTTATCAACACTAAAAGCTCATCCTCATGCTGTATTTGATGCATCACTTTGTTTGCAGGTAATATTCATTCTATTTCTTGCATTTCACATCCCTTGCTCAGAACATCTGAAGTACTCTTGCAAACTATTGAGACGAGTAAGGGAAGATTATTTGGGTTGAACTTGCTTCTTCCAGACAGCCAACTAATAGGCAAAGTTATAAAAATGACCGGGAAGTTTTCTGAGTTGCTAGTGTTTCCCCAGAATGCTTTCTCAGTTAATGTTAAACATCCAGACACTATTTTTTTTCTTTTCATGTGAGAATTCATCTCTGTATATGGCTACTTCAACGAGTATTTTGATCGGTTCTGGTTGGACAAATTACGATTTTTCTGTGAAGATGTCTAGTTTTTGCTCAGATCTTGCAGTGTTATCTTAAAATCTTTGAGAATCTAACAAGTTTGATTTGATGTTCCAGGGCCCTTTACGCAAAGTACATCATGGTGGGGAAGATGAAGACCAAGCAGTTAGTGTTGCAGAATGTGAAGGTCGTGCAATCAGTTTTCTCTATGATTTAGCCAGCAAAGACTCAATTCTGGTGACTGCCTGGAGTGGCGGGCAGATGCAAATAGACGCCCTAGCTGATGAAATCCAGCCAGTCTGGATGCTTGGTAGCCCACCTCGTCTCCGTGTTAATTCCCAAGACCATATTATCGGTCTTGCAATGCTTTGTGAGTCTATCTCAGGTGAGCTTCCTGTTGTGAAGCTTGATCAACCACATGATAATGCTGTCTGGTTAGGTCATCCACCACCTTTGTTGAGACTTGCAATTGTGGATTTGGCCTTACCAAGGAAAACAGAAAGTGGGTCATATATTTCAATGTTTGTTGATCCCGTTATGCCTGAAAGAATATATTCTGTTCATGATGGAGGGATAGACTCAATTGTTCTGCATTTTCTTCCATTTACTAGTCAGTCTGGTGGCAAGGATGAGATGGTCCGGACCCCCTCTGTGCATCCTGTCCTTAGCACATGCCAGGTGGAGAACTCCACACCTTCTCCTCTTTGTGGGCTCCCCTATGTGGCTTTATAGCATTGTCAGATTCATTTGGGTACTCATGGATTGTAGTGATTACCTCCAACAAGGAATGTGTTGTGCTAGAAATGAAAACATTAAATTTATTGGTGCCTGTACATGTTGATATGGAGAAGGAATCTGCAAATTCTGAAGAATGGACATATAGAAATCCTCCAGACATCATAAGCAAAGAACTACTTAGTGGTCCTAAGGTGGTTCTTGTTCCTCAGGGTTCACCAAATCTTCGATCTGTTGCTGCTGATTCTATTGAAGGCCGGTCAACTCTTCACCAGTACCTAAACCTTTTCCATGAAAACTATGTCGAGTATGCACATAAGGTGAGAATCCCCCACAGAATATACTGGCTGCCACCGTCTTTCACTCATTTTGGTCACTTTTGTTGCTGCATCTTCTCACTAGACTCTCTGCTCATTCTAGTTTGTGAAATGTAATTTATTTTCATGTATAACCATCAATTCTGACCACTAGGCAAGTTATAGTTGAATAAGATGAGTGCATAACCAAAAAGTATTAGGAGTTGACCCATAGGTGAACGGTAGTTTTTGTTTCAGAAGGAAAACTACTTTTAGAATATCCTTATGATTTTGTGTTCTGAAGTGCTGTCGATGAGGACCATGGGCACTGGAGATCTGGTGATGCTTTCTGCTGGCATGTTACAGAGGTTTATCATTTAAGTTTCAGGAGTGCAATTGCTATTATAATGATTATTTTTTAGGCCTTGGGAAATTAAGATAGACTTTTCAGTTTGCTTATATTTGAAATACTTAGGTAGATTGGCTAGACATTTAAGTTTTATTGAGATGCTACTGTCAGATCAGCACTGGGTTTTTAATCAGCTGTATGGAGATGCTATCCTTCATGACTGTAGGTCTACTTTGAACTGGAGCATCATGGCCCCCAGTTGAAGAGAATCATTGATGATCAGCATGCTCGATTAGGTGAAGCACAGGAGAAGCTTTCAAAAGTGTGGAAGAAGCAGTCAGGATTGGAGGACAGGATTAATAATGCAATGCACCAACACAATCTTCTGGAACAGCGCTTGCATTGCTTGAAGAACTTGCCTGGGGCTCATAAGAAGCCTTTGTCTAAAGCAGAACGTGAATTTAAGTCTGAGCTTGGTAATCAATTTTATGCTCGCAGCAACTATTTTAATAAAACTATGCAAATTTCTGAGAGACATTTCTTATTTTGGCCATTCCATTACCGTTTCATGTGCAGAACTTTGATTTCCTTTCTGTGGTCAAATCCTTTTCTTTTACCTTTATCACACAACAGTACTTGTAGTATTTTGAAGTCAATTCACTTTTGTCTTTTGGTGGTTGTAACGAGTGTGGCCGTCACCTTACAAACTTTTCTGTATTGTTTAATTATTTTGCAGACCATTTTACAGGAGTTGAATTGGATGCTTTGCGTACTTCCATTGATACCTTAAGAGCAAGGCTGAGAAGGTTCACCCGATCTTCGAAAGGTGATGTAGCAAATCAGCAAATGAAAATAGGGGGGAGGAATTTTGCTCTAGATGCCCAAATATCGCAGCTGAAATCCTCAATTGCGAAACTCTCGCTTCTCAATAGTGAGAATACAAAGAAAGTTAAGCTAGTTGAATCCGTGTTAAAAAATCAGGAAAGCAGTAGATGATGGGTTTCTCAGCCTCAAATATGAAGCCCACCTAGAGTTGGTGATCTTTTTCAGCACCCCCACCCTTAGTGGCCAATGCTTTGGTCAAGAACTTTTGCATTCTGCAGTAAAGCACGTTCAGGTCAGAGCCTTATTTGTATTATCAATGTTTACGTCTTAACATGACTGATCGCGATAAGTTTTTAGGATATCCATACGATTGGAGCTATGATGCATGTCGGAAAACTAATTTCAACTTGTTTTCTGTTTTTGAGAAGAATCATCACATCTTGATTTTAGTGATGTTTCATGACAATTATACCATTTGCATGTCACTTTAGGATGTCTGCATGGCCAGTTCTTTCTACCGTAGTTGTTAAGCTTATAAGACACAACAATCAGTAAATGTCCATTAAAGTTCTGTATTCTGGTGGTTATGATTAGAGACTGATCAAAGTGACGTGTGGATGGCAATGCAGAGGGAACTTTGTACCTGTGTCTTTGAATTGAAATTTTGCATATCTGTTATGCTAAAAATCATGGGATTTTCAAGATGGGCGCCGCATATTCAGCCAAAAGCAATCGTATTGTTTGCTTCTTGTCCTCGTTCAAAATCTGGTTGTAGTATCGAATAAAATTATCCGCCCATAGCATTTTTTCGGCCGTCCAGTGAAGAAATGATTGAGTTCATGATCTGGGTCCAACATAAAGAGAAATCAGGACTCGAGGGGCTCGAGGAGAAGATGCCGCACCTACAAAACGCATAAATTGCTCGATCATAATATTTAGTAGGCTTTTAGTTTATTTTGTACTTTGACCGAATCCATGACGAGCAAATTCAAATACTGGCTATATAGTCGAATAATCCAGTTCCTATTTTTATTTATTTTACTCATAGGCTCCAGGTGAAGGTGTAGTCTATATTTTTGTAGGCAAAGTTGTATCTACTATCTAATGATTACAACTTTGGGCTAGATCAGCTGCAAAATAAGTAATTGCAGCAGGTAAGTTACATTTGGGGCTGAAGCATGGAGTGAGAGGTTTGCATGTGATGTGATGATTCAGGTCCCACCTGCCCAGAGAGCCGATAACCCAATCTTTCAAGAGAAGAGAGAGCGATGGTTTCCGGCTTCCACTTAGGGGATATGCCCTCCGGAGGAGGTGCTAAACGCACTCTCACGCTATAATTGCAGCTCCACTCTCTCATTTTTTCTTGATTGACAGCTATACCCTCTCGAATCTCTATTCTCTTTTCCCTCTAAAACCCACACCACCACCACCACCACCAAACCCAAAATAAAGCCGGAGTCCGATAGTATCTTGAGCTGCAACTTGCAAGCATTGCCAACCAGTGAACAGTAGCATTGAAATGCAGATCACATGGCAGCTAACTTTAAAATCGTGCACCAGACGTCTTAACTCTTTTTAGCTTTTAAAGATTCTAGATTCATCACAAGGTCAGTCCAGAAGAAAGAAACGGCCGATTCTAGAGCATGATGCTTTATTAAATTGGAAAAACAAGCTCTCACTCTCACGCCACTTTGAATATTTCCAAGGAAAGATCGCCTTAGTTAATATAGTCGATTTAAACACTAGCTTGTCGCTGCATACAACGAAGAAAATTATTTATTACTGACAGTATATAGTGGCGGTTAAGGCTTGGGGTGGGTGGCGTGAGTAGCATGATTTTATTCAAGGATATAGTCGTCAATTTACACGGGAGGAGAGGCGGTACTGTAGGAGTGGAGCAGTAATCGGCTCTAGCCCAAGACCTCTACTGATGGTACCCGCTATACGGGAACTCAAAATAAGCTTCTATCTTATTGCTTGAGCTTTTATTGGATCCATCATTAAAAGGACTCGAGCTCTTCTACATCACTTCTCTTTCGCTCTAATACTTTTACATGGCTTAGACACGATTTCGACGCTGCACATTGATGGGATATCGCTTTTGTGTCCGCGTAGTTGGAAAGAAAACCAGCTTGTCTTCTTCGGCTGGGGTCCAACTGTTGGAAAATACAAGTTCACAGACGAAAATTAGCACTACAGATTATATTTATAGGCTTAAATGCGAGGGGAAGATGGAAAAAGATTGCAGGAGATACCTGAAACGGGTGACCAGGTGGTGAAGGAAAACAGAGAGTTCTACTCTAGCAAGTTCATATCCTGGGCATAACCGTTGCCCTCCTCCAAAAGGAGTGAACACATTTGCTGGGCATGTTGCCCCCGACTCGTCCTGCTCATGAATATTTATTTTTTGAAAACACTCGCTCGTCGCTTGTTGAAGTAATCAAGAAGAGGAAACACATGAGCCAGCAAAGAGATTTACCTGCCATCTCCACGGATTGAAAGTTCGAGCATCTTTGAAGTATTCATGGTCTAAATGTACACCACGAAACGATGCAAAAACCTTCCATCCTTTCGGAATTGTATAACCTGTATAGATTAAGGATAAAGATATTGTTAGCTGGTAAAATATACTATAAAGATAAATATGCAACAAATAATATTCCCACCTTTAACATTTATATCTGTCATTGTTCGTCTAAATATCCCACCTATTATGTTTGCTATTCTCAAAGTCTCATTAACAACCTGGAAAAAAAAGCATGAACGCAAGAAAATAGAGTTAAGCAAAGCTAAATCAAGATCAAGTTCCTATAGTCCTGTTAATGAGTCTAATTAGTCATGTAAATGTATCTTACACACTGAGTGAAGGTCATTGACTTGTAATCACTCCACTCAAGAGCTCCCTCCTCGCCCTTCTTTCCTCTAATCTGTTCATGCTCCTCCTGCCAGTTCAAATACAATTCTAATCTGTTCATGCTCCTCCTGCCAGTTGAAATACAATAATAATGAAATAAAGAATTACTCCGCGGGCTTTTGTGGGCATCTTAAGTTACGGGCAAGTCTTATCCAAACTACTCAAAAAGAATTTTCTAAGCCCAATTTGATAACTGGTGACAATGACCATGCGGTTCCCTCACGGACCCACGACACACTGATTCAAATACATCCCAACGGCTGTGATTTAATAACCATCACACCGAAGCCACAAAGGAACAAAGCAATCCTAGGAATAAAAAAGACGGGTCAGATTCACACGCTTGCAAGACTAGGGGTAAAAAACTTCATTACATCGGTCACCGCCGTTGGATGATCTTCTTCATCGAAATCAGAGACGAGAGATTTTCCGATGATCCCAATACGACTCGCCGGGGTACATGGGCATATTCAGTTATCGGAAAAAAACCCACCCAGAAGAGAATCATTTGACGAAGGGTGCTTTAGACTTACAGGTCATGTAGGAAAGACAAATTGGTCAAAAGAGGAGGCAATTCAGGGTAGCAGTCAGGTTTTCAGAAGGTATCATTTTGTCCGCTTAGACGAATGTTGGGTTCTACTTTGACCTTCACGACGTTCATGTACTTTTGCATCTACTTTTGACCGACATCATAGAAACCTAATACAGCCACTTTACTGTGGAAAAAAATGGTGGTACACATTTGATATATATTAAAAAAAATTAGTACTTTCGTAATTTTTTTAATAAAATAACACTTTTCAGAAAAAATGAGAGAAATTACGCCGTAGTGAATGGAAACACAAGACAACCAAACTTATCACCATTAAAAAATGGAGCATTTCATGGAAATTATAAAATAGACTCAATTATTACAACAAGAAAAAATAGAAGAACAAAAATTCTTGGAGGGGCACTTAAATTTCAATTATATCATTACTGATTTTATCAGACGAACCCAGCAGCAAAAAATTACCATTAATGACTACAGTGCGTTATACTTGTCATTTAAAGATGAAGGTGGTGGCTCTCTTGTTTTTCAAGATAAGTATATATGGCACATCATAATTAATTACTTAATTACTGTTGATGATGTAGTCGTTGAATTTATTGATAATTTTATAATTAGAGTTTTGATATGTCTCAAAATCCTCTTTCTTTTTCCTGTGTGAACAACATTTCCACTGCTTATTTACTGGCCATATAATCATTATTATTTCGAAGGGTTGTAGTTACAATGCTAACATTGCTCAGACTGGCCATATAATCATTATTTACAACATTTCCATATAATCATTATTATTTCGAAGGGTCGTAGTTACAATGCTAACATTGCTCAGATATTTAATTCCTATAATACTATTATATTATATTTTAATACCGATACTCTGTATCATTTTATTCAAACATGATCGATGTTCTCTTATTCATTGCTTTGAAGCAATGGAATTAATTAGTACTCTATGACTTTCCTGATCTCTTAAAAAGGATAGCATGCACGATGAATTACATTTACCATCCACTAGAAGAGGAGACCTTTTTGTATGAACTCGTGTGGCAAAGGTTTTTGGTCGTATTACATACAGTTTTCGCATAGATCACGTGCGAGAGAAGGAAACAACCCATTTCATCTTTTTTGTTCTCTCTTTATCCTACCACTCAATGTGAACGGTTGAGAATTGACATGATGTAAGGAGAAAAAAAGAAAAGAAGAAGGTTTCTATGGAGGCCAACAAGATGATTAGAGGAATCTGGGTCCACTAGAAAAATGGTACTTCACTTTTTTGCTTTGCAACCTCCCCAGAACCCCCCCAAAGAGAGGAAAATAGGTTTAAGCTTAGTTAGGATTAATAACAAGGGGAAAAAATAATGGAAGACGTGATTCAACAATACGTACCTTGATCTGGGCCAGAGCCAGAGGTGTCTCGGTGAGGAACTTAACAGCAAGAGTCATGCTTGTAGATGTAGTTTCATAGCCTGCAACAAGCAGGGCTACCAAGAAATCTACTATTTCCTCGTCCGAGAAGCTGCCATGATCATCTGAAGCTACAAGAGCTGCCAGCATGTCCTTCCTTTTCTCTCCTGACTCACTCTCTATCCTCCTTTGCTTCACTACCAAGCTCAAAGCCTCTGCCACCTTAGTCCTAGCCTACGAAGTTTCAACAGAATACGTCAGGATTAATATGTAACATCAGTGAGAACCTTTTTTTTCATGAATAAAAAGAAAAGGCGAACCTTGATCCGTTCCTTTAAAAAATCCAAGGGCACAAAAAAAGATCAATACAAATTAAGGGGGGCAAAAACGAACAATGATCTTGGTGACTTCACATTCGTCCTAAGCCAATTAATTTTTATTTTTTTTAGAAAAAAAGAACGACATTTTCCATTGATTATACAAATGTGATTAAAATGGAAAAAAGTGTGGAGGGGTAAAAAAACAGGAGAATATTTACTTTGATGGCTCTGCGGTATGTGGGGGAAAGGATGGGTAGAGGCACGCTGAAAAAGCCTTCAATAACAAGCACGTACTCTTTTCTTAGACTCTCGGTCCATTCACATGGATCAAAGCTCATTAGCTGCTTCATTGTCAACTCAAATGTAGTCTGCAAAGAACATATGCCCAGGAGAATAAAATGAGACAAACGGATCAAAGAGAAGGAGGAAAATACTAGACGACGGCGTCGCCCAGATAAAATTAGTATAGTGCTTGCTAATTAATTAATGGTGTGCAATTAGTTAGATGGAACCTTCTAACTGCAGAAAAACCAAGCATATAACAGCAAAAATAAATTAATAATAGCAAGCAGCACGATTAATTAAGGGAATAAAAGTAATTCGTGCGTATGTGAGAGTGACTTTTACTACTAGTCTGGTTTAATATTATATGCTAAGCAGCTAACATGCTGGGAATGTCTGTCAGACCCATAATAACAATAATTCAAGTAAACTGGAACGACCCAACACCGAGTCAACTCAGTGGCATCATTAGGAACAGGCGTCCTGAGTTTCTTAGTTAGAAGGAAGATAAAATAACTGAAGTTACCTTCTTAGCCTCCTCCATGAGGAGAACCCGGTCGGACCAAGAATCTAAATTGAGACGGATCAACCGGTCTATATCGACCAAGAGATGGTCTCTGATGATTGCAGAGTTAGCGAAACTCATGGTTAAGGAATGCATTTTTTTGTGAAGATTACCCATCATCAGCAACAAAGAATGTTTTCCCAGCAGGTTGCTTATCGAACCGGGGTAACTACACTCAAACAGCTTCCCTTCATTTTGCAAAATGAACCGGTTCGTTTCCGGGTCAACAGAAAAAACTGTCGGTTCACCAAAAATATGGGTTTTAAACAACGAACCGAACCGGCTCACCCGCTCATCTATAAACGGTTCAGGGTTCTCAGTCTTGTATGCAGATATCAGCTGTAGAGTCTCTCCAACAAAGGGCAGACCCAAACTCCCCGGCGGCAACCGGAGCCGTCGGCACCGCGAACTCCGGTGAGCGATAAGGACTATCGCCGGGAGAACCACAAAGAAGACCAAATAAAGAGAAATTACCGCCATGAGTTATTTAACTTTGTGATGGATATCTTAGTAACAAGGCGAACGCATCTATTAGCGTGGTACTCATACAAGTAGTGGGGGCATGTAAGTATATAGAGAGGACTCGTTTTTGAGAGAAACGAGAAGGTGGATAGAGCATTAATGGAAGGGAGACAGAGCACACGAGGGGAGGGTATCAGATAAGAATCTAAGAGGCCCGTGGAAAGGAAATATATGTTTTGATATTACCGTATCTGACAGCTATTCTTTCTTTTTAGAAACCTTTCAAGGTAGGAGTAGGAGAGAGGCCTTAATCTTATGTGAACATTTCCTAAGTAAAAATGGAATTACTTTTCTTATGCGTGTGTTGGGATTAGGTTGATCTTTTCTACGAGCACTCTGTATTTTGGAAGGGGGGGCAATGGGAGTAAAGAAAATGGAGGGGAATTCTAAGATATTTTCTCTCGTTTATGAAGATGGAAAACAAAGAGTACTGGGGAATGGGAATGGAAATTTTCTTTTGGGCCCACACTCGTAGAATTTTTCAAGCGTGAGAGATCATCTGTGGACAACTCTCTCTCTCTCTCTCTCTCTATAATATTAACACAATGAAACTTATCAGTAAAAAATCAAAGACATCATTGTTTCTCTCTCATGATAGAACACCATGTTTTTAATCTAGATTTTATGCACAGTCGCTCTCCTTGTTCTTTAAGGTTTGTCATCCCGTCAGGAATGCGGGACTCTCATGAATTAATTAAAGAGAAAAATAAAAACAATTGATTCATTATCTAATAGTTAAAAAACATCTATAAATTATAAAATTAAAATTGGTTTTTAGACGCTGGGAGAGAAAACAATATCATCATTGTCACGTCCTTCAAAACAAAAATTTACCTTTCTTCCAGCTTTTCTAAATTTATTATTAGAATGCTATTGATTTCCATCTTATTTCGGATGATTGAGAAATATTTTTATTGATTTTTATAGGTTTTTTCAGGGGGTAACCTTTTTTAATAATCCGGATTATAATTTTTAAAAATTAGTCTTATTTTACTTTTGTTTTTTCTAGGTTTCTTTGTTAAAATGAATTTTTTTTAAAATTTAATTTTTTAATGTTAGTTTGTTGGCATTCAACTTCATGATTCTAACTATTTTTTTATATAATTATTTTAATTTTATATATTAAATCATGAGTTAGGAAAATTAGTCTCAATTAACAATTCCTTTCAATATTTTTAATAATTAATTTTTTTAATTTAGTGTGCCTTTCACTATCTAGTTTATTTGAGATGATAACTATTATTTTTTTATTTTTTTATATACAAGGTTGTACTAATTTTGTAAATAGGCTGTGAATTTGATATATTAATTAAAATTAAGGTTTTTTTATCTTTTTCTTAAATATTTTTTTATTTATCCTTTAATTTGATTTTTTTAAAATTAAATTTTATATATTTTTTATGTATCATTTTCTAAGAAAAAATAATAATAGAGAAATGTATAATCAGATGATTGCTCTATCAAGAACAATAACAGAACACCTTTTTTTTTTTTTTAAATAAATATCTCTCTCTCTCTTTCTTTCTTATTTTCACCCCTGCATCTTCCATGGGATTCATATTTTATTAATTTTTCCATCTTTAAATCCCGGATTTAAAAATTCAATTTTCATTATCAGAACTCATCCACAGTAACAAGCAAGAAGAAAAAAGTTGAATGACTGCTTAGGATGGCAATATTTGTTATTATTTTCTTATGGTTCCGATCTCCAATCAATCAATGTCCAGATTAATTTATTTTATTTATAGATTTCCTTACACAGGATGAATTGAACACAAAACTAAGAAAGCAAAGATCGTATATATCAAACCTTAACCTTATCAATGCAATCCCTACGGTAGTTGTTTGCTCCCGCAACTGTCACTTCTATATATTTGTTTTCCTTTGCTTGCATAAAGTACTTATCATCCCTCATTTTTCCCTTTTTTTTTTTTTTTTTCTAAGAGGTTTCAGCGGAGAGAGGGACAGCAACATCCATACCTTCCCAAGTTCCTTTTCCGTTCTGCAACAAGCGTTTTCCTCTAAGCACGTTGACTATTGGTTCAGTCCCACTTAAATATAGAATATATATAATTTAATTCAAACATGATAAATATTATATTTAAAGGAGATAATGCATTTTTTTAATGTTATCTAAGATATGAAAGTTGTAAAATTTAACTTGAAATTTATCTGAATCTAACTTAAATATATATATATTTATATTATATAAATATATTAGTAGAACCTTTAGGATTTCTTTAATATATATATATATATATATATATATATATATATGCTTCAATATCGATATAAAACAGATACACATATATGTATAATATTTATCATTTAATATATATACCCTTAATTAAACAAACAACAAGAGAGATTTTCGTCTTGAACGAAAATTCACTCAAAAAAAATTCCCAAATATGGTATGATTCAAATTGAAAAAAACAAAAGCGCAGTCCAGCATGATTTTTTTTAATATGCATCTTTGTTTTGGATCTGCCACTATATATTATTTAAATTCGATATCATGGAGCCATGCATATTTCGATTTGTGAATTTTTCAATAAAGGTACATGGTGTTTAATTTATAAGGTTCAGAGCCGATAAAATGTCATATTGTATTTAAGGCGCTTCCCACTTCTTCCACTCGATTCAATCAGTTGGCTACCTCTAATTGTTTTTTGATACCCCAAAAACCACCGAAGCCCTTCCTTTTTGATGCCATTATTAAGTGAAATGATCATTAGGAAAGAAACTAATTAAGATCATGCCGCATCATCCATTTAGCCAAGATGGGTGGGAGCTCCCACAAATGAAGGTTCTAAGAAGATAATGCAATGCAAGCTTATCAATCAGACACGTGGCTAAAAATAATGACAAGTATGGTGCAATTATAGGGTTTGATTTTTTAAATATGAGGTTATGATACCATGTTCATCCACATGGTCCCCATAAGGGGCATCAAAGCTTTCTACCCACTAGACAACCCATAAAATAATGCCGATAGAGCAAGTAACCCCGTCAAGTTTTTATTCAGTTCAATTTGAAGTTACCGAGGAGAGAATCCTATCGTGTGATTGTGCCTCCTCTCGTTGCCTTTGTTTCAGTTAAGCATTCTCTTAATTCCCACAATTAATTGACATTAAATCAAACATTCTCTCTAGATGGATCTAACCTTGTCACTATCCCATTAACGCAAAAGGGATTCGATGGCTCAAGTCAGGTTCAGAGGTAGGTTAGCTGTTTTGAGACAAATGAGGACCCTGATTTGTGGGATCTGGACAGAATTTGGATTTGTGTTGAGGCCATGGAATTTGATTAAGGTGTTTGTCCAGTATCATGCATTGTTGAGTTATCCAACACCATCTTCGAGTTGCAACTCGAAAATAATTATCAACTGGCATGTTACTTGGTTTGTTCCTCAGATCATATACCTGTTACTAATTATCAATTGGTGTTCCATGAAATTGATTATTTGCTTGAAATTCCAAGAGAAGATACGAGGCAATTTTTCCTTTGTTTATCCAGTCGATGTTCCAACTAAAATTTGCTTTCAGTTAATTGTTTAATTAGATTCTTTCACAGACACATGTGCTTTTCATTAGAAAATATACAATACAAATTCATGACCGATTTGAAAAGACACCAATTTGATGATGACTGGGTTAGGAATTGGAGTGTATGATAAATCAATAATTAATGTCGCCCCACGTTTGATGTGACCATGTCTATGTGCATAGAAGATGAACAAGTGGGGATGTGCACACGTTTTTTCCTGCTGAGAGCATAGTTGATGCATTCTAATTCCCAGAAGAAAAGACATCAGATCGCCAGAGGCAGACGTGACCACAGAAGGGTGGGGATAATTATTAGTCCTTCGTAATGGCCCAAATCATACACAACTTGGTTTCTCGGCAGAGATCGTCACCGTAACAACCAGATTTTTCAGTGACTAAAGGGGAGATGCATGGGCAAAACCAATAATTATAACTATCTGCTAGCTAGCTAGCTGGTCCGTCGATATCAAAACTTATTGTCCCACCAGTATATGTAGCGAGTCCAAGTTGGTACAATCCGTGCATGCTCTCAGCTCTCCGATGCGTCAATTAAATCCTTTTATATGATAATTGTAAGGCATTATTGTCAAAGAAAAAGGCGTGGGCGAGATGGAATATTTCAAGAACTCTAGGAGTGCAGGATGTGCCCAATTAATTGCTCTCCATGCAGAGCACCATCGATTAGATTTCGCGTGTGCTATGCACTTCGCTGCCGACATATTATTTGTTAAAAAAGTTAAGATGCACGCTCTTTATTCATAATCATCGTTATTTTCAAATTGATTTGTAACTTGATTAAAATTAAATGTTTTCTATACGATCTCTTTAATACCGTATCCATCATATAAATTTAGTATTTTATGAAAAATAAATTGTCAGTGTTGATTTAAGAATTTGAACCCTAGAATTATTAGAACAACAAATCTTCTTAACCATGTATATTAATATTTGGATTGCATGATGTATATATGGTGCTGGTTCGATATCCATAGTAGCAAAACCACTCTTTTATTTTGCCAGCTAATAATACTCTCTTCTTAACCATGTATATTAATATTTGGAATGCATGATGTATATATCGATCATTAATTAATGCATTCCATGAAGCTTACGATAAAACAATGTACGTATTACTTGATCAAGCGTAAGGATGAATTAATGTTAACCACGTATGGTTAAGCAATCAATGAACTAACCACTACTTTTTTTTTGCTCTGAGATGCATATTTTGTTTTTATAATGGTTTACAATGTCATACATATCGATTCGAATTATTCAACCTGAGATTTCAAGTTCTAGCCTTGACTTTGATTTGTTATAACATGTTTATATACGATTAGTCTCGTTCATGAAAATTAATATCCTGAACTCTGATTTTATGATGATATTATGAAAATATCCTTCCAAATTTGTTCACATATAATAACATAATATGTATGTTTAACGGATTTTTGATCGAGACGAGTTCATATCACAGGCGAGGATAGATCTCACCAATTAATCTTTAGTCTAGTAACAGTAAGCTTCTTACCAAATGCAAAGACGACTCTACGAATTGAAGTTATTTCTATCCAGAATTAATCGAGTATAAAATACCCACCAGACCACAACAAGGTTATTAATTACCATAGTTTATCAACTTTATGGTGCTGGTTCGACATCCATAGTAGCAAAACCAATTTGTCGTGGCTCTAGCATTCTATCCATGTCAGGAGAGAAAGAAAAACTTATTCCATAAATTAAAATGCATTATATATAGGTATATTCAATTGTCGTAATAATCACCCTTAATTGGATCTCATGCATCGCTCGACAAAAATGCATTTCTAACCATCCAACAGTCATTAAACACGAGGTACTGTACCGTCTTGCATGAATACAATAGTTTAACAATATGCAAACTTCTCCAACTAAAACATAATAGTTTACGGTTT